ATAATGATTTAAGTTTCTCTCCACTTCCCGATTTCCAACTCTCTGTCTCTCTCTCTCTGTCTGTCTGTCTGTCTGTCTCTCTCTCTCTCTCTCTCTCTCTCTTTCCACCTCCCTCTTTCCGCCTGTCTCTTTCCACCTCTCTTTTTTCACCACTCTATGTGATTGCGTGCTTGCTTGCGTGGTGCGTCGTCCGTCCGGACCATTATAATGATTTAAGTTTCTCTCCACTTCCCGATTTCCATCTCTCTGTCTCTCTCTGTCTGTCCGCCTGTCTCTCTCTCTCTCTCTCTTTCCACCTCTCTCTTTCCGACTCTCTCTTTGCATTTCTCTCTTTCTACCTCTATATGATTGTGTGCGTGCTTGCGCATGGCGTCCGTCTTTTCGGTGCATAATGATTTAAGTTAAGTGAAAAAAACATTTAAAAATACGAGTTTTTTATACAGTAAGTATTTTTATTTTAACTTTCTTCAAACACACAAGTTTTAATTGAAATATTTATAAGCTAAAGACGGAAAAATATTTTTGGCATATTAAAGGAATATTTTTAAGTTGATTTAAAAATATTTTAAATGAATATGTTTTAAAAATACGATTTTAAAAATACGATTTGTTTATACCGTAAGCATTTTTATACAAATTTTTTCAAACAGAAATTTTTTTTAACATTGAAATCAACTTCAATGTTTTATAACCTTAACCGCCGGTGACCCAACGTGTCATGGGTAGACTAATTTTTTTTCAATAACAATCAAAGACAACCGATGTCGATATCGGTATATTGGGTCATCCGAGCCGAATATGTGGGCCGATTTCTTTAGTATTTCCTCCGCGCCATTTTTACCAGGTTCAAGCTAGGTAACATCCGGGTACCTCATCGTGCGTGATATATTTAAAAACAATATATTTGCATTTACACTATTTACATTATTCGGAACAGTCTACGCCAGTGAGCGAAATAAAGGGTTCAGTTCGACATTCCAACCACCTGAAGAAGGCCGGAGCGTACAACGGCCGAAACGTTGTAATAAATATGGCGACAAAGATGTGGACAATAGTCCGAATAATGTAAATAGTGTACATAATACCTCATCTCAGAAATATCGACAGATACTGATGTTTGTATTTATTTAAACGTAAATTCTCTCTTCTGAGGTACGTATCTTGTACTTGTAAAATCTCAACACTATATTCAATTAATAAATATTAATAAGAACCAAATTAATTCTACCATAGGTTTTGCTTTACAAATAACCAAAAGAGGATGTTTCTAAAGAAGTCATTCTGTTTTACTGAGACCTACATGTGATAGAATGATGTGGAGAGCCATGATTGCCCAAGGCAAACATCAGGCCAGATTTTACGAATATAATTTTACATATTAGCCAATGTTTGTTTATTGCTGGTCTTTTGGAATCATTTTCAGTTAAGTTCAGTTTTTGTTAATACGCATTCTTTCTTTTATGATGCCATGGCACATAAGGTCGTGGGCGGTCATGGCTCTCCGCAATTTCCTGCCCCTTGCAGCTCTTAATAAATTGATCATTCTGTTATTTCGTCTAAGCCTCTTCCGGAATCCATTTGCTCAAGCCCACCAGGTATGTTATGCATTGTTTTCTTCTGTCCCTCTTGCACTCTATCTGTCTCGAGCGTATCATATTTTCCAAGCCCTCCTCCTTACTCATCATGTGCCCTTGAAACCTCAACTGTCTCTTTCTGATGTTAAGTATTAGTTTCTTTTTTGTTTTTTTGTTTCCATTTTCTTAAAAAATTATAGTCGTTGTTCACATGTACGGTCCACAGTATCCTCATCATCCTTCTGTAGAACCACGCTTATGTTGCTTCAAGTCTCTTTTTCATCTTTATTGTCCAGCACAAACTGTCGTACAGGGGGACAAAGATCTCCAAAAAGTTCAGTATGCTTTTCTTTGTTTCTAGCAAAATTTTCCTATTTCTTAATACCCTGCTTAACTTTTGGAATGCTTTTTTGCTATCCCAATACACCTTTGAATTTCAGTGTCACACTATCCGTCCTCTGTTAAAAGACTTCCCGGATATTTAAATTTCCAGATGTGTTTGATTTTGTTATCTCTGATTTGTAATTCGCACTTTGGTCTGCCGCTTTTGCTAACAACCATGCATTCTGTTTTCTTGCAAATGCTGCCTAATCCTTTCTTCTCGCTTTCCTTCAATAACTCTTGTAGGAATTTTTTGTAGCCTTCTTCTCGTGTCATCTACATACGTTAAGTTGTTAAGAATGTGGCCACCAATAATGAATCCTAGTAGGACTTCTAGTTCTCACATAATCACCTCGTTAACAACGATCGAAATTAAGAACAATTCTTCTTCTTCTTCTTCTTCTTCTTCTTCTTCTTCTTCTTCTTTGTGGCTCTCCATAGCTTTCGTAACACTTAGTAAGGTATGGCGTTTTGCTATCCCACCTACTCCCTGTTTTGCCAACATTTCACAAGTTCGGTAGGTAGCTCATTCACAGCTTTCCTCTGTCTCTGTCACCTTCCAGTGAGTGTCACATTTTCCAGGCCCTCTTTCCTCATTCTGGGTCCTAGAAATTTCAGCTGTCTCATTCTGATTGTAAAATTAAGCGTTTCCTTTAAAACTTCCTACTTCCTCAAATGTTCAGTCCATGGTATTCTCAGAATCCTTCTGTAGATCAGCATTTCTGTTGTTTGAAGTTTTTTTTTTTAAATTGTTACAAATTATTACTGTTATATGAAACAGTTCAGCGATCTTTACTTTGTTTCTAATTTTTTCTGTTTCTTAATACTTTGCTTAGATTATAGGGATCCTTATACTCGGTTTTACGTTGAATGTTAAAGCTTGGAGTATCGGGATTCGATACAATAACAGAATATCGTTACACAGGGTCGCACGTAATTTGGCCGTCTACAATAATCAAACGATTATCATTGAAGGAATAAAATTCAGTAAAAAAGACTATGTAGTTTCGACAAATAAACGTTAATTTAATATAACGACAAGAATACAAGCAGTTGATGATAGATTGTAAAGTAATGTCTTTTTGTTTGGGTTAATAATAAAGTTCTGAAATAAAATATAAATTGTCTTTGTGTACGTATGTGAGAAACAATAAAATGATTTTATATGTGTGTTTGTATGAAAAAGTCAACACGTGTGAACGTGATTCATAGTAAAAAAAGGATACGAGAGATAGAAATTGTTTCTTACTGTTGGCGGTGTTGCCGTAGTCTGAGGCTTGTCAACGCTGTCGTTTTTAGCATGAGGTCGTGAAGATCATAAGCGAGAGTTGCGTGGAGTTTGGTGACAGTTGTGTGTATCCTGTTTAGGAATGGATTTCGTATGTTTTTATACACTTTTTCGTAACAAAATCGGCTCCAGAATTAAATTATTTATTTATTTATTCCTAATTGGCCCTAAAAGGGCACGTGTTATGACTTCTACTACGTCCGCACGATATTTGGTCGGTATCTACCTAAAAATAATGAGGACTAATACAACAAACATTCTGATTTGTATCCTATGATTTTATTGGCGTGTTTTAAGATGTAAGTGTTTCCATGATTGTGATTGGTTTATAAATATTGTATTTGATATTTTAGTGGACACAAGCATTTGGTAAACATATTTTGCTTTTTCAATACGTCTCCAGATTTTGGTGTCGATTTTTGCGTCATCTGTTAAAACACTTCCTAAATATTTAGATGCTTGTACATGCGTGATTTCATTGTTACTGTCTGTATTTCTGAGATGAGGTATTATGCACACTATTTACATTATTCGGACTACTGTCCTCATCTTTGCCACCATATTTATTACAGCTTTTCGGCCGTTGTACCCTCCGGCCTTCTGCAGGTGGTTAGTTGGAATGTTGAACTGAACCCTTTATTTCGCTCACTGTTCTAGTTCCACGTGCCATGTCTAATGGATGTCAGCTATCAGTTATCTCCTGTTGATTCCCCTCTCCAAGTTATCCAATGCCTTAACCGGGTATTGAAATCACACACTGGGTATTGTCACTGGATATAACCAACGCCTATATCCCCTGTGCCATGTGTCGTAGAACAGTCTACCCCAGCGTGCGAAATAAAGGGTTCAGTTTGACATTCCAACCACCTGAAGAAGGTCGGAGCGTACAACGGCCGAAACGTTGTAATCAATATGGCGACAAAGATGAGGACAATAGTCCGAATAATGTAAATAGTGTTCAGTGTTAGTATTGGGTTGTTTCATTTGGTGACAATTATACATTGTGTCGTCTTACAATTGATAGTTTGTCCTTTTTTTTCTTTCCTTTACTATATTCTCATGAAGTTGCTGTATTTTTTCTTTCTTTTGTTAAAGAACTTCATTATGAAATCTTTTGCGTTAATTATGTCTCTACCAGAAAGAGAAAATGTCCTGAGTACAGCAGTGAAGATAGCGTTTCGTTTTTTTTTCCTGAAGTAATTGACAAGATAAATGCAAAATTAATTTTCAAAAGACTTTCTTTCATTTTTTTAAACTTCAGACTAAAAAGTTACTTTCTTTTCTTTCTTTCTTGCACTCATTCACCTCTGTTTTTTGTTTTTTTTGTTTTTGTTTTTTTTGCCTTGTGTGGATTTATTTAATTACTGGTATTTTGTCCTACGTTGGGCTTTCGATTTTTTTGTTTTTTTTTATTGTTTTATTATTATTATTGGTCCCCCCCCCCTGCCCACACAAAGGGAATTACCGAAACGTTCTATCGTACCATGGATCTGACAAAATCCCATTTAAAAGAAAAAAAAAGAAGAAAATAAAGATAAAAGAAAGTGTTGCCTACGGGCGGGCTTATCTGGATCGGAATCGTTGATGAAAATCATGCGATTGGGATGAAGCTTTTTCATTGGTCTGTGCCGGCAAACGAACGCTTTCTTCGGCAAACTGCAGCAATCGGTTGGCCAGGAGAGAGCGACGGCGTAAAAGACAAACCGCGTTAAGGAAAAGCAAAGAAAGGAAGAAGAGGATGAAAGACAGAGAAAGAGTTATGGACAAAGAAAAGGCAAGGCGTAGATAATAAAAATAAAGACCGTTATATATAGTGAGAAAGAAAGAAAGAAAGAAAGAAAGAGAGAGAGAGAGAGAGAGAGAGGTGGGTGGGTAGAGAGAAAGTTAGACATTGGAAAGAATAGGAAGAAGAGAAAAGAAAAAAAAACGAGTTTGAAGATATAAAATGCTGAAAGAAATCAAGGCCTTACAAGAAGTCGTATATAAGAGGGGCCGGCCACGTTTTACTAACTATGTAGCAACTTAGTGTTTTAAAATTATTCAGTGTGCCAACAGAATATGTATTTTTATACAAGTCAAGGTCAATATACCTGTTCTACAATATCTTACTTATTATAAAATGCAGATTGTGTGTGTGTGTGTGTTTGTACGTTTATATATTGGATCGGATTTCCTACATTTTTCAACCGATTTCAACAAAACTTCACAGGACTACGTAAAATTATCTTCTGGTGGTTCTGACAGTGCCAAAAATTGGAAAAACACAATTGTTTTTGAACGAAATCAATTTGAAAACACGATTAAGAGGCATTAATGAAAGAGGGACAACTCATATCGAGTTATACTTATTAATATCGAGTTATACTTATTATAAAAACCAGGTTGTTTGTGTGTGTGTGTGTGTGTGTGTGTTCATTTATATATGGGATCAGATTTCCTACATTTTTCAACCGATTTCAACTAAACTTCACTTTTTTTTGGCAGGTAGTGTTTCTTATTGTCTTGCACACTTTTTTCTTTATTTTTACATTCAGAATGCTTTAAAAATTCCATTTACAAGACAATTGCTTATAATAAAATTCTATTCAATCGGTAGACTCATAATGATTGAAAACAATGTTTTTGTTTGAATTTGGATTTTACCAATTTGTGAAAAAAAAAAAATAATAATTAAGACATGCGTGTCTGTCAACCTTAAACAATAATCTTTGTCAATTTCATTTTTCAGTCTTTATGATGGTTGATACTTGATCTATCTCTTACTGTTACATCCCCGGGCAACGCCGGGCTCTACTGCTAGTATTTTATATAGTAATATATAGGGTATATTTTCTTTAGTATATATTTAAATTGAAACAGCTAAATATCTTTGTGTTGTAGTAGTTTTTTTATTGGACATCGTGACGTCATTTGCGGCTACGTGCCATTGGAAATTGCTTGGCGTGCCACGTGTGGCACGCGTGCCATAGGTTATCGATCCCTGCATTAAAGCATTAGTCTACTATGATTTTGTTGAGAAGTTTTGATCTTTTAACACTGGTGGGGGACATGTTGTTACATTTTATTCTGCATGGTGAAGCTGATAATGTCGGGTTTTTCTTACAATAAAATTACTTTTCTGACGGACATATTGTCAATAGATTTATTATTCACACTAATAAGATTTTTCTCAGCGTTTTGTGCAAAAACGACATTTTGGGTATCACCCATTCATTAAAGCAGGGGTGGGAAAACTTTTGCTTGCTATGTGCCGACGTAGGGTTTTAAAAACATTCAGTGTGCCAACAGCATACGTATTTTTATACAAGTCAAAGGTCAATATACCTGTTCTACAGTATATTTTATATAGTAATATATAGTATCTATACTTTAGTATATATTAAAATTGAAACAACTAAATATCTTCTTTGCGTTGTAGTAGTTATTGGTTAGGGCTTCGTAATGTGATTTGCGGTTGCGTGCCATTAGAAATTGCTTGGCGGGCCACGTGTGGCAAGCGTGCCGTAGCTGGTCGATCCCTGCTCTAATCCATAATCAGTCTTGACACTTGCATCGGTTTCTGCGGTATATCGGAAAGAAAATAATGACAATTTAAATGAAAGTACATTAAGAGAGGGTAAAAGGATATATATATATAACGTCATCCACAGACAGACTGTTTCGCTGTTTACAGCTCATTAGTGTGGCTAGACATCCGTTTGCCTCTAGCTAGGATCGAAACCTGACTGAATTGGTGTCAGTCGGAGCTTCTAACCACTAAGCCGTCGGCGCACGGTAGGGACGACGATGGATTTTTAGCATATTTATTTTTAGAAACATGCCCAGTGACTGACACTGACTCAATTCGCTTTCGTGAAGACTCTCGCTATATAGCTATAATAGTCACTGTTTACAAACCCACACCTCTTCCCAGAGTGCTCAACTGAAATTAATTTCAGGAGAAGATATAACGTCATATATATATATATATATATATATATATATATATATATATATATATATATATATATATATATATTAGTGGTCAGTATATATATATATATAGATAGATAGATAGATAGATAGATAGATAGATAGATAGATAGATAGATGTGTGTGTGTGTGTGTGTGTGTGTGTGTGTGTGTGTGTATACATAAATTCCCAAGAGGATAGAATCCAGGTAGAACTCAATGTCCAGGACAGAGTAAGAATATAATATAAAAGGCTCAAACACTAATATTCCATTGTTATAATTTATTACATTGGAATCGTAATCACGATCCAATTCATCAGACCTACAAATATCCAAATATATGAATTATAACTATGGAACATCAGCGTTTGAGCCTTTTATATTATACACACACACACATATATATATATATATATATATATAGAGAGAGAGAGAGAGAGAGAGAGAGAGAAAGAGACAGGAAGCTCGAAAGAATAAGAAGTAAATACTGCAGAAGATATGAAATAGTTTGAAGAGAAGAAAAAAAAAGGAGAAAAGGGTTCTTATAAGGAGACTAAGAAGATAATACAGTGTTTCACCATTTACGACAATTTAAATGAATATATAGCAAAAAAGAAAGTAAGAAAGAGGAGGAGGGAGAGAGAGGAGCAGCGGGAGAAAATGTAGCAAAAGGAAGGAGAAGAGAATGAAACAAAATAGATGAACAAGTCTGAAGAGGAAAAAAAAACACTGAAAGCGATGATGACCTTTCGTGAAGAGTCATAAAAGAGATTAGTCTATACTAATTGTCACCATTTACGACAATTTGAACGAAATCGATTCCCCATTAGTGAAAATTACATATAAGTGAAGCCGGATTTTAGCGACTAAAATTCATTTTCAATAAAGACAGGAATATGTTCATTTTCACAAATATCTTTCTTCTCTAAACGGGAAATATTTTGCATAAGCCAAGACAAAAACTACTAACATTTTAATCAACTTCTTAGAAAAGACACTAATGTATTTCTCATTTATGCTTACATTCGATGTTTTTTTTTTAACCGCAGAGATTCTCAATTCCATACATACTAAATGAATACCTAACCAGTGGCAGATTTTATTGCACACGTCGATGTTTTCATAATTTTTCTCTCCCAAATCTCTCTTACATATTTATAATTCTACCATTCTGTCTTGAATATTGCTGACACATATGATCTCATGTTCCTGCTATATATCTAGAGATCCTTGATAAAATACAAAGAATCTGCAATATCATTGGTCTTTACTAGGCATCTCGGCTTCAGTCACTTTCCCACTGCCGTAATGTCGCTTTTTTGTGCTTTTTCTGTAAATACTTTCATGGTAATTGTTCCGATGAACTTACCTTTTTTTTAATGTTGTTTTTATTCCACACAAAAAATTGTACATATGGGAACTACATTATTTACATTATTAGACATCTTTGTCGTCATATTTATTACAATGTTTCAGCCTTTCAGTATCTGTCTATATTTCTGAGATGAGGTATTATGTACACTATTTACATCATTTGGACTATTGTCGTCATCTTTGTCGCCATATTTATTACAACGTTTCGACCGTTCAGTATCTGTCTATATTTCTGAGATGAGGTATTATGTACATTATTTACATCATTTGGACTATTGTCCTCATCTTTGTCGCCATATTTATTACAACGTTTCGGGGTTGTAAGCTCCGGCCTTCTTCAGGCGGTTAGAATATCGAACTGAACTCTTTATTTCGCTCACTGGGTTAGACTGTTCTAGTTCCAAGGACACATGGCACAGTGGATAAAGGTCTAGTTAGATCCAGTGATAGGACCCAAAGAGTGTGAGTTCAATACCTGGTTAAGGCAGTGCAGAACTTTCAGAGAGAACTTCACAGTAGATAACTGATAACTAACATCCATTAGACATGGCACGTGGAACTAGAACAGTTTCGCCTGTGGAACTCTCTTCATACTAACTGCATTCCAGGCAACTTTGATTCTCAGAAATTTAACAGCAATGTCAATAATTGTATTCTGTCTTCTTAGTTCCTATTCTTTAATTGAGCTTTCTCCTTAAGAATGAATTTTTTTCACACTTAATAACCCCTTGAGTCTGATTTTCTTTATTGGGGTAAAATGATAAAAAAAAAAGTTCGAGACGAACCTATGCAGTCCCTCTGGAGGAGCAAATGTATGCCAGTAGTAACTGCTCGGAAGAAGACTTTCATTCCAGATATATTATTTCATAATACATTTTAGATGCATCAAGGGTGGTCTTCAGTGATGCACTGTCCTCATCGCCAATTTTGCGTTTTGCAACATATCTGATCAAACAACAACCCTGACTTGACTTCGAACGAATCAGGCTGCCTCCTTGAAAGCATTGTGCTATGCACCTCAACATTACAAAAAAAAAAATTCCGACATGGCTAGAAGACCGATCGTTTTTATTGACATAGGTCAATCAGCGACAGCCAATGAAAAAAAGTTTTTTTTTTTTATATAATGGTGTCTTTTTACTTCATCCGGTTTATATTCGAGTTATTTCCCCTGGATTTAACTAAATTTCAAATACGACACGATCTATATACCGGAGATAAATAAGACTGACGAAGTTTTCGTCGGTTGAAATATGTCTATTCCCAATATGAGGTAATTTTGTAATTATTTATGTATTAATATATATATATATATATATATATATATATATATATATATATATATGGACAGAATTATTCACCCCAATTCCATAATCTTACTTATTATAAAACGCAGATTGTGTGTGTGTGTGTGTGTGTGTCTGTAACGTTTATATATTGGATCGGATTTCCTACATTTTTTAACCGATTTCAACAAAACTTCACAGGACTACATAAAATTACTTTGCGGTGGTTTTAACAGCGCCAAAAATGGGAAAATACAATTGTTTTTGCACAAAATCAATTTGAAAACACGATTAAGAGACATCGTGTGAATGAAAGGGGGACAACTCACATCTGGTTAAAAACCCAGGTTGTTTGTGAGTGTGTATTCCTTTATATATGGGATCGGATTTCCTACATTTTTCAGCCGATAAAACAAAAATTCACTTTTTTTTTGGCAGGTAGTGTTTCTTATTCTCTTGCACACTTTTGTCTTTATTTTTAATATTCAGAATGCTTTAAAAATTCCATTTACAAGACAATTGTTTATAATAAAATTCTATTCAATCGGGAGACTCATAACGATTTAAAACAATGTTTTTGTTTGAGTTTGGGTTTTACCAATTCGTAAAAAAAAAAAAAAAAACTAATTAAGATATGCGTGTCCGTCAACCTTAAACAATAATCTTTGTCAATTTTATTTTTCAGTCTTTATGATGGTGGATACTTGATCTATCTCTTACTGTTATATCCCCGGGCAACGCCGGGCTCTACTGCTAGTTTCAAATAAATCTGTAATTCCTCAAACTTTCATGAAAACTTCATGGGTATTTTTCCCAAATTATGAAATAATGGATTTGATGAAAGGCTGTGTAGTGATGCCCACAACAAAGTTTGTTTTTTTGTTTTTTTTAATTTCAAGCAAAATGACAAAAAGTCATTTAACATAGGATAAACTTATCGGCGTTTTTTCCTCAATAATCAATTGTTTAACCTTTATTCAAGATTATTGCCTTTAACTATTTTTGATAGTTTCTTACAAGATCACTACACACACTGATAGTTATTTTGCTCCATTCTTCCTTGGCAATAGCGTCTAGTTCCTCCAAATTCAAAGAACTTCTTTCTGACTTTTTTTCTTCAAATATGCCCATAGATTTTCAATGAGGCTTCCGACGGCTCTTTGTGCGGCGTACACCAATACCTTAAGTTTGCTGTCATCTAAGTATTTTGTAACAATTCGTGTCGTGTAATTCTGGTCATTGTCATGTTGGAACGTTAAGTGACGCTCCAAAGACAAATTTCGTGCACTTTGTTTTATATTATTTTTTTAAGAATAGACAAATACTTTTCTTTATGCATGACCCTCTGTCCTCTCACTAGTTCCCTTGTTCCCCAAGTGAGGCGACAATGCCATTTAATGAGCAGGTGGTTACAGGAAGAGGAAGTGAAAGGGAAGGTTTGAGGAAAGGGCAAATGATGAAGTGGATTCAAGAAGACAGAAGATGGCAATTAATCCTCTATTTAAATTTTTGAAGGTTGTAGTCATCCGGAAAGCAAGAAATCAGAAGGGAATCACACAGTTGGGAAGTGCAGGAAAAGAAACTGCTGGAGCTATTATAACAGTAAAAGTGTGGGATCTTATTGTGGAATTATTTCGCAGTGGAGGCTTGTATTTGTACTAAATCGGTCCTAAATAGGTTCGACGTACAAAACGTTAGGATCTTCATATAATAGGTATTGCGCAGAGTAATCTTGTTGTGGTCGCTGACTATTTTCGTATTCGACTAACTGTCGACTACTGTCGTCCGACATCGACTGACCTTCGTTTCTTTTACTACTCCTACATATATTAGGCGGGAGAGTCTATTAACTATAGAATAGGTGTGTTTCACCATAACAGACTTAGATTCCAATCAAGTAGCACTTTTAAATTCGTGTAGTCGTTCACAGGGAAAAGGTTGGTCAGATGGAAACCAGTGAAAACAATTGGTCAGTTGAAAAAAATGACTGAAGTCGAGATGCCTGGTTCGGATCGCTTACGTTGCAGATCCTTGTTTAGATTTCGTCAAGAATCTGAAGTTTTTGTTTATTAGAGACATTTCGTCGATTTTTATACACGAAAGTGTCCGTTCACAGATGTTGAAAGAAGTATTTATCAAAAATTGTTGACAAAATTCTTTAGATTACCAAAATTCAAATACTCTGTGTTGGCAGGTTTACAAGCTACAGTTAAAGAACGTCTATATTTGCTGGAAATGCGCAAGTTAGTATATTAAATTCATTTTCCAGAGGTCTTCTACCAGTACTCCTCTTTACAAATTATTTCTTCTAAAGAAAGGTCTCTGTTGTGTCGGAAACCTACCACCCCTCTTGAAGATGAACTTGTCTGCGTCTGTGAACAGAGACTTTAAATAATGAGAAGAGAGATAGACAGAGAAGTTCTTAGCTGAGCTAGTTATTGACTACTCAGGCGATTTCTGTAGCTTTTTACCAACCTATTAAAACCCTTTTTATTGTTACGTGTTATTTGGCGTTTCTCTCTCTACTAACCCCAAATCAACATCATAACAGTCTCCTTACTGTACGCCTTTGTCCTGGCCTGAGTAAGTGTACTATATAGTCCTCTGTCCTACAACGAGTAAATTCTATTATGTACTCCGCTGTACTTGCCTGAGTAACTTTTACTATGTACTCCTCAGTCCAGGCCTGAGTAACTTTTATAATATACACTTCTTTCCAGACCTGAATAACTTTTACTATGTATTCCTCTATCCTTGACTGAGTAACTTTTTCTATATACTCCTGTCTTGACCTGAGTAACTTTTACTATGCACTCCTATGTCCTGGCCAGAGTAACTTTTATTATATACACTTCCGTCCTGGCCTAAGTAACCTTTACTAGGCACTCATCTGTCTTGGCCTGAGTAACATTTACTATGTACTCATATGTCCTGGTCTGAGTAACTTTTACTATATACTCCTCTGTCCTAGCCTGAGTAACATTTACTATGTACTTCTCTGTCCTGGCCTGTGTAACATTTACTTTGTAATCATCTGTCCTGGCCTGAG